GACTCTGTTTGGACCTGTTTTTTTTTGTTTGTTTGTTTGTTTTTTAAGTGAGTCATTATATTTTTAACAAATCCTTTAAGTATCGAAGTATCAAAATACATATTTTTCTGTTTTATACCATATTTTCTAATTGCACTGAGAGTATAATTGGAAAGTGATGACCAGTTACAGACTGAGTTGCTGAAGGAAGCCTAAATTTTAATCCCATATTTTATAATCTACCCCTAGGATCACCTTTCCATCTTAACTTTTACAAGAATGCTAGTGGTTTTACCTGTTTTTTGTTATTGTTCAGTGCTACCTGAGTTTAGCACAGGTCCTGCTCCCTATTAACTTTCAAATGTTAAATGTGTGAGTGATGATGAGTAAATAAGTTTCACACTAATAATGGTGACTTTCTACTAGGAGAAGTATAGAAAAACACTATTAATGAAAACTCTAAGTATAGAAAACTGTTAATGAAAATTTTCTGAGTGGACATGATAATGGAAATATCCTTAAACAAGATAAAATTATCTAAGTAAATGTTCAGTCCTTTTATGAAAATCAATCCTCTATAACTTATAAGGTGAACACTATTATTAATAGGGAGGTTGACATTATAATAAAACGGTAAATCGACCATGTTTGCTGCTCCTGAGTCTGAATATAAGGCAGATTAAAATTTCTGAAGAACCACTAAGAAAATACCTCAATCCTCATTATAAACTGATGGTTTTGCTTATGTCCTGGAGATTTTATACAGCTTGCCTTTGCTTTCTTTCATATAGCTGTGTAATCTTTCTGGCTTTGGGATAGACCAAAGTTAATAGACATCATTTGAAACTGAGCCATATAGTAGAATGTAATTTGCCATAAAGTTGAATGTTCTGTAGAGTTCCTCTTTATTTTTTTAAAGGGATGTGCTTTTCAACATAATGTGTATAATCCCTGCCTCCACACACAACACCAGAATGGGGTTATGATTTCCCTGATGGGATTACTAAGGTTTGTTCTTACTTTTTGAATGAGCTTAATTTTAGTTTTTAAACAAGCTGGTTTATACCTTTTGCCAGTATGCTAGGCCATCAGAAGACAGTACAATCATCTTCAAAACCTGGGTTTAATAGAAGGAAGTGTGAGAAAGCATCCAGTAGGTGTTTAGATCTGGTTAGACTTTGAGTGGTCCCTTTCTAACAATAGAAGAATAATAATTCCTTTGGAATTCTTGTTCTTCGTTCCTCTGCAGATTGTCAAGAGCTATTTGAATCCTAACTATATTCCAGGCACTATGTTAGGTGCTACAGTGGATGGAAAAAAGGGTAAAACTCATCAAAGAACTCATAGTTTCGTGGAATGTGTCATGTGTGTACCTAACACAAATCGAGTATCCCTTATCTGAAATGCCTGGGACCAGAAGTGTTTCAGATTTTAGAATTTTTTTTTTTTTGGATTTGAAATACTTTCATTATACTTACTCGATGAGCATCCAAAATCCAAAA